ATCTTCACTTCTTCAATCACCAGAGAGTAGTGTTTCCCCGGAGAAGTGTACTTTGGCTGTGATTTGTGGTGGGCTGTGATTTGTGGTGGTGGGCTGCGATTGGTGGTGGTGGGCTGCGATTGGTGGTGGTGCTGCAATTAGTGGTGGTGGCGCTGCAATTTGTGGTGGTGGCGCTGTAATTTGTGGTGGTGGGCTGCGATTTGAGGTGGGTGCGGTGGGTTCGATGAACGGCGGCGGCACAAACGACGAGGCGAGGGTCGGTGGCCGGACTGATTTATCGAGGAAGAAAAGGAAATGTGGGGAATGAAAGAGAAGGAGAGGGAGTGAAGGGTGGTGTGAGAAGCTGCTAACAGGAGAGAGAAAGAAAGAGAGGAAGAAGAAGAGGAGGAAAGAGGAGAGAGAAGAAATAAAAATAGTTTGTAATTGTATATACTTTGTATATCAGCCAATAAAAGTAACATATCAACCAATTGATGTATTATATCAGTCAATATTAGGGACATATCAGACATTAAAAAAAAAACGTATCATTCAACACAAGAAATATATCAGCCAACACAAGGAACATATCAACCAACAAATGAAACATATCATCCAACAAATGATGCATACCAGCCAACAGAAGGAACATATCAGCCAACAAATGAAGCATATCAGCCAACAAAACGATGAAATCAGCAAACAAAAGCAACAGTTAAGCCAACAAAATAAACACATCAGCCAACACAATGAAACGTATAAGCCAACAATTAAATTATACATATCACCCAACAAAATAAAGATATCAACCTATCAAAGAAATATATCAGCTAACTGATATCTGATAACAGCAAACAAAAGGAACATATCAAAAAATAAAAAACAAACATATCAGCCAACAATAGGAATATATTAGCCAACACAAAAACCATATTAGCCGACAATTGAAACATATCTGTCAACACATGAAATATATCAGCCAACAAGTAAAATGTATATATCAGCCAGCCTGCCACACGCAAATTTTCGTGCGACAGTCCGCACCCAATACCTTCTCCCGATTTTAACAGGCCCAAGTGACTAAAAACCAACAAATATTGGTAACATTTCCACTTATTGACCTAGAAAGTTGGTTAATGTGGTTGTTGTGACTCTTGTGAGTAGGATATAACTGAAAATTTGACAATTTTAGTTTATTATTAGTCACTTGGGTCTGTTAAAAACTGCATTACTAAAATTAAATTATTTAAATAAATTATACTTGGGATTATTTAAAGTGAGGGACCTAAAATAGGGATTGCCTTTTCAATTTTACCTAATTTTTCTTTTATAAATCATCCTCTATTAGAAAGTTGTCCATGCATGTAGAAACTAGGCAATGTACAAAAAATATTACGTAATTTGTTGTGTTACAGAAAAGTGTAAAGGACAGCAAATTCAGAAGGTAAAAGAGGTGTACCGTGTACTACAAGATGCAAAGTAGAAGGGCACCTGATACCACTACCAAGTTGCTTCACCCCTCTAGATCGGTTTTATATGCGGCCATTCGACTGCGCAAACTCTAAATGATAAGTCATCATATATATTAGTAGGAGTTTCCGACCCCTAGAACCAAATTTTACTACCAAGTATTTAATTTTTCTTTTAATAATTTTGTATATAAAAGATAATTGATCGAAGCAGCTTTTCACAATTTTTTAAGGCCCGTAATTAGGGGTGAAAGTTCGGTTTGCGGTGTGGTTTATAGCCCAAACCAAAATCAAACCACATTAATTCGGTTTTGGGATTTTTCAAACCACACCGCACCATATTACTATTGAAACCGATCCAAACCACACCATTTTAAATTCGGTTTTCCAAAAGAAAACCGAACCACACTGAAATTTTTCATCCTTTTCTTTTTTGCTCCATCTAACTGGTCATCACTCCAACATCGCCCACATTAATTGACATTCTAGGACATAAAAAAGCACAAGTTTTATTATTTTTTGGTTTTATATATGTAGGGTAGAAATTAATATTGGGCTAGGCTATAATTTGGATATGGGGCATAGTTTGGCTTGAATTTTGGTTTTTGGTTTTTCAAATCTTAAAACCGAAACCGAACCATATTAATTCGGTTTTGGGATTCAACTTGTTTGACATGGTTTTTTTTTTTTTTTTTTTTTTGAAAATAAATACCAAAAACATAAAACAATGGAAAGTTGTTTTTACTTTTTAGTTATCAGTTTTTAAATTATTATGATTTTAATAAATTTGACTAATTTTAAATTTATTACATGACATATATCATATGATTTTTTTTTATTTAAAAAAAAAACAAAAAAACAAAACTACAATGATACCAAACAAACATCTAAAGTTTTACGGAGTACTTATCATCTTATTGAATTTTTATGATTATGTATTCATTTTTTTTAATTTAAAAGAAATTTCATTTCTTATGCGATATATAAGATTGCATAAAGGTATAGAAACTAGAAATGAATGAAACAATTTCAAAAACAATCTGTCTTGTGTGTGGCTGATTGTAAAAGAACAAAGTAACGCCTATAACACTGACCAAGTAACTCCTGTAATACTGACGATAGTAACCCCTCGAGTAACCCTTATAAGTAACCCCTGTAACACTAATGAAATAACCCATTATGGCTGGGCATACGGTGTGACCAACTATATATAAGAATTTGTGTTTCAAAAATATTTTACGTCTAACTTTTAGTAGGGGGAGTTTTGTTGGCAGATTGGTATGGGGTTGGAGTTAGGATATAAGTTTGGAACTTTATTCTTAATACCATACGACGTTTGATATGATTATGCAATGAAGTTTGGAACTAGAAATTTGTTACGACCCACCGGTGGGTTTAATTTCTAACCCACTGGCGAGGGGAAATTTTTTATGAACAACCCCAAGATTTAACCTGCTCTTGATACCATGACAAATTTGGGTGAAAGAGATAATGGAATGGGTTTGTTTATTATTGATCATTAGGTAGAGTATTTATACAAAACCTAAGCTTATAAGATAGGAAATAATCTTCCTAAGAGATGTTCTAGCCTAACCATAAATCTTATAGATATATTCTCTAAATAATATCTTAACATAAAATAAACCTAAATATATTATTCTCTTAATGATATTTATGGAAAATTTATCACACATATATTTTTCGATATCTCATATATCTAACAAAACCCCATCCTTTGGGGGTTTGAGGTATGGGAATATAAAACTGTTAAAATCATAAAACAAACATAAGGTATGAACTTAAACCATTCTAAACTCATACCTAATATCTAAATTATATAAACCAAACACACCCTTCACGGGTCCACCTATAAACGGAGTTAGAGTAGCCGTCCACATTAATTTTTACCAAAAATACGGGAACATGTTCAAAACAAAACTTATTGTAGTTTCTAATTAAAATTATTGAATAAAAAACTGTAAGCTTAACGGTCCAATTCAATGTGTTTCGTCCTCTCATGTTGAAGTGGATTCTTCCTTAAATATAACCCCGACCCATATTACTTAATTAATTGCTTATATGTGAAGTGGTCCTCTCATCAACTAATCGTGTTGCTAGCCACATATAAAATTTTAATTTTTTGTACTATTATAAGTTTCAAAGTGGTTTTTATTTATTTATTTATTTATTTTTCAAAAGAATCATTTTTGCTAAACGATTCTTTTTCCTAAAACCTACCAAAAAAAAAAATTGTTGATTTTGTTGAATTGAAATTGGGTAATTATTCTTTTAACAAAGTACAAATCAATATTTCCTCAAAAAAAAAAAAAGTCTAAATCAATAATAATAACATAATACTAAAACAGACACCAAGAATGATACATGTCACTTCCTGGTGTTATTTTTTTACCTCCAAAACTCCCCCTGCCTTTTTTTTTTATTTTCCTATTTTTTGTTTTATTTTTGTCAACTAGGTTAGATACCGTGCGATGCACGGTTTATATAAAATATATTTTTATATTTTTACATTTTTTTTAAAAATGGAAAAATATAAATAAGAATTATGCACCTTGTACAAAAATATTTGTAATTTTATAGTTTTAGATTTTCATCAAAATTATGATATAAAACCTGTTCAACGTCGCCTAATGCATATTTCAATGTACCAGTCCATTTATTAGTGTGTTATTTACAATCATTTCAGCTTTTAGGGATAAATTGATAGGTTGTAGTTGTAATGTAGAAGTTTCTAATATTCAAATTTCAAAATTGTTAAATATGGTAGCTCCACAAAAAAAAAAAAAAAAAAAGAAGAAAAGAAAGATGACATCATCCTTGCATTTAGGCGGGAAAAAATTTATTATGTGAGTGACATGTGGACAATGATGACGTCAGCAACGTTTTGTTTTAGTAATAGTTAATAGATGCCATCAACTACTTATTATAAATCATGTACAAAATATTCAACAAATCATATTATTATGATATTTTCTATTCACATGTTTCCCTAATCTATCTTAAAATATTTTCCATATCTATTAATTCTTAACTATAAATATTATTCCATATATTACATACAATACATCATATACAATATTGGTGAGTCGGATATAAGGTTATTATTGTGTTTATAGATTTGGTTAATGCAACGGGTAAAACATGTATCATATTTTAGTAACTAAAGCGAATGGTATGACAAGAAAATTTTAGTTTTTTCCCTATGGAGATAGAATATGAATTAGTCTACTTCTCTTATATTAGTTATGTGGAGCATTATTCATTTATTTTTCAATTAATAAAATAACGTTATCAAAATCAAATAACTTTCAAATTTAAATTACAATCCTTTATTTTTGTATCGATCATTAGCAAGTGAGCCCTTCATTCTAGTTGAATTATATTTGATTTTTTTTTCCTACGAAATAAATAATTTGATTTATAAATCGTGCATCGCACAACAGGTACTATGCTAGTTATGTTCTAAAACAGTTATTCTTGTATACTATTTTTGGTATCTAACATAGGCAGCTAGACTCCCGGAATTCCAGACTAGGGCAATACCACTTGCACAAAAACACTACAAATTAAGCTAGCTTACTCCTATATATACACATCATCTTACCAAACTCCCAAAGTACTTCAACATACTTACAAACAGCCCAAACCAAAAATAACACCCAACCAGTCATTATTCCTTTTCATCATTTTCTCTCTTCTCAATGGCTTCAACTCTTCCTTCAAACACTTTTTTCACACCACAAAATCAAGTGACTCAATCAAATGTTAATTACCCTATGCATTATGGTCTTACAATGTGGCTAGGCCAAGACCAAGATGATTGTTTCTTCCCATTTTCGAACAATTTCGGATGCTTTGATGACTTGATTCTCTCAGAAAATACCAATAATAATGTTAGTATTGATTCTTCATGTAATTCAAGCTCCACCTTAATGGAAGTACCATGTTTTGGGACATCAGCTTTTGACTACTACAACAACCATGGCAATGGACATACTAATTCATCAGGGAGTACATATGATGAATTAGAAAGTAATGGTTATGGAGCGTTACATAGTTATGTCCCTAGTGCTAACAATTATGTTGCCACTCCGCCTGAGTGTTGGGTATGTATATGTTTATGCTTTTTCCTTTTTTTTTTTCCTTAGATGCAAATTATCATATAATCCAGGGAAAAAAATGTAGCCATATAATCTAGGTGTTTACGCAAATGGCCATAATTATAAAGTAATTTGAACTATTAAATGACAATTCCAACTACGATGTTAGTTGATGCGTGAAACTGTACTTATACATGCTTGAGGTTAATAAGAGTACTTATTTGAGGAGTATAAATATATATATTTTTTAATTTATTAGGTGTATAGAACCGGATGATCTACCAAGACTATAAAAAATTAACCAAGTAATCTAGCTGACATTCACAATTTTATTATTATTATTACTTTTTTTTTCTTTTTTTCCTTATGTGTATTTTATCGTGAGCATGATTTGCACAAAGTATATTGAATATGATTTCCTTAACTTATTTATAAGTTCTTAAGTTGCTTTTTATTCGATGACTTTTATTAGAGTGTGTGTTGTCTTTTCATAGGATGAGAAATGGGAGCTTAAAGACATTGTATTAAGTACTTTGCATATAAACACCATGATTTATCTTATGTGATGAGATCATCACTTGCTAATTTTTGTAAGACTATAGAAAGTTACTGCCTATACTTTTTGCAAGATATTCCTATATTAAACAGAGATCGCACAATTATGCTATAAGTTAATGCGTTACAGTCCCATAATTAATTTTCTCACAATTTATGCACAAATTGCTCACGAAATGTAACTTTTGTTTATTTGTTTTTTTTTTCCTCTCCTTTATGACTTAATATTATTGGTGATATAGTAAGTATGGCTCGATTTTTAGCTCGAGTTGATACCAAAATGAGTCAAGTATGTAAACCGATCAAATCTAAACTTAACTCGATTAATTCAAGCTTTAGCAATTATAATTACTAGTACTATTTTGTTCTATTACTAATTTTTGTTCTACTAGTTTTTAACTTTTTTTCTTTTTGTTGATGGTATTATCAATAAAACTTGATTTAATTGAAAATAATCTCGAAAATAAGAGTAATCAAGCTTCTTGATCCGGAGAGTGGATTCTTACGGAGTATTCAAGTTGAGCGTGATCTACTTGCTCAATTAATAAGATCATTTTAGATAAATAATTAAGGATTTAACTTAAAAATGTATTAATATTTTTTGAAAGAACATACTAGTGTGATTTATAGACAATACAAAAAAGGGTACATTACAAATCATGACAATAGTCATAACTTAGATGCATTGTAAAATTTAAAATTAGGGATATAGGGGCAAAATAGTTAAAATAAAAATTATTTCCAAAAACTTTATATTAGTAGTAACACTATGATGAAGACATTTTTATCGTTTGAAATTCGAGACTTCTAGAATTTTGTATTTTTGTAACGTAATATATGTTCATAGACACACATTAGAGAAACTGAAAATAATTTTATTCTGCCTAATAATTAATGATCTAATAAGCTATTGGACAGGAATTTCAAGGCCACACGACTTCACAAGTTACAGGATCAGAGAACAGTAGTAATAAAGTGGGAAAATATTCGGTGGAAGAGAAAAAAGAAAGGATTCTTCGCTATCTTAAGAAAAGAAATCAAAGAAACTTCCGTAAAACTATCAAGGTACACTATTATATAATCTATCTTTAAATTTTCTGTCTGAATAAGCCACTCTCTTACTTATCATATGCGATCGACTTAGCTTTAATATTAAGTACGTATGTACTACGTAAGTCACTATTATGTCTCAATCTTATGCTTATATTCTTGTCATTTCAACAACAGTATGCTTGTCGTAAGACGTTAGCTGATAGGAGGGTTCGAATTCGAGGTCGATTTGCCAAGAATCAAGAAGAAGAATCACCTTCTAGTTACGATCATTATCGTAACATAGTCCAAGATAAGGCTAGTAACAAGGTATGTTGTTGTTAAAGATCAAATTAATACGTACGTACTCCTCCGTAGTACTATAATGTATAGCTTTATATACTTCCGGTAAACCAAAAAAAAAAAAAAAAAAAAAAAAAAAAAAAAAAAAAAAAAAATTTGGCCTAAGATAAAGAAGGAATCTTCCAACTTTGAAATAGGGCGTCAATCTCCATTACAAGTCAGGGTACTATAAATATAGGAATTCGCTTATCCTTACCTCCGTTCTTAAATTAAAGTATCTAATCTACTAATTGGAATGGGTTGACAGTTGAGGCTAGGTTTAGGACTAATAGGGCTTTTCTTTTTACCAACAAAAAATTATACGAATTATTAGTTAAGTATGACGAATTTAGTTTTTTATTATTATTTATTTTTTTAACAAAAAATGATTTTTACCATGCAGATCTATCAGTGCGGTGACTTCAACGGAGAATGGGTGCAAGAAGCAATGTCTAGCCTACTATATGTGCCTTCTATCTCTAGTTGGCATCCCAATGGAACTACATCGTTTTTAAGTGACTACAAGTAGGATTTAGAGGAAGACAAAGCATTTACATACAAATTGTGCTTCTTTTAAATCCGTGAATTGAATACAATATTGTACGAACAATCTTATTCATTTTTAGTAATGAAATTTTGAAATTGTGTTCATTTTGAGTATAAATCTATTAATCAAAGCCTTAATCACATAAGTGGAGTTGGCTACATGAACAAAAAGTGATTTCCGTATAGTCATATACAAAAATCTTCATCCGTCATCCCTTGAGATCACATATCTCATTCTTATGCAAATCCATATGTTTCATATCCTTCCTACCCCATTCCAACCAAGTCACTTTCGGTCTCCTTGGCCTCTACATTGTTTAACCTCTCCATGATCACACTCTTCCACTTTTCATACCGTTGCACCCTGCGTCTTTGTCTTACGCGAACAAACACAGACGATTTTTCCTTAGTGTGCCTGCAATGTTTTTTTTATTTTTATTTTTTTTTATTTCGCATCTTTATGATCAACAATTAGAATATTTTACTTGATATGGAGACTTAGGTAAAAATTACAATAATATTCCCTCTATCCCATATTACTTTTCCTATTTATCAAATTTCACAAGAATTAAAAAATAAGAGAAGGAAGTACATAAAACGATGAAATACATTTAAAAAAAATAAATTAAAAAAGAGAGAGAGAGAGAGAGAGAGAGAGGGAGAGAGAGAAGTAAAATATGTGAGTGAGGCACAAATAATATTTACATGAAAGGGGCACATATATGTAGAGAAATTATAAGGAAATTTTGTATTTTACTACCTTTAAAATGCTCAATTTTGAAAATAACTATTAGAACAATTTTTTTTTATTTAACTACCACTCAAACTCTATTTCTTTTTATTTTGCTACCACATAACGAAAACTGTAACTGTAGACGGTAGTGGGGCCCACCCAATTAACAATCATCTTCTTTTCAATCACTCTTACGATTCTCCCTTTCTTGCAATTCTCACACCCACCTTCAACCTCCTCCTATTGAATATTCTGAACCTCCATAAATTACCCCAATTTTTTTTTTTTTTTTTTTACAGAATCTTTCTTTATTTCGCTGTCAGCACTTTCTTTCTCTCTATTTCGTTGTATCACCCTTTTTCTGGAAGAACAGGAAGCAAGGTGGAAGCTTTTTCGTGGAACAACGTTGGCGAAAATAGGTAATCAGCACCGGTTTAAAACCCCCATTTAGCACGGTTTTGAACCGATTCTGATTTGAGGGATGCCAAAACCCAAGACTTTTCGCACTGGTTCAAAACCGTGCGAAAACAAACTTTTCGCACCGGTTCTTACAGTGAACTGGTGCGAAAAATTCCCAAAAAAAATTAAAAAAAAACACTTTTCGCACCGGTTCTTGCTGTGAACCGGTGCTAAAAGTCATGGCGCGACTTTTTTTTTTTTTTTTGATATATACTTTTCGCACCGGTTCTAGCTGTGTACCGGTGCCAATAACTGCTTTATTTTTTTTTGGCAATAAATAATAATATTAATTTAATACTAATAATAATAATGAAAACATGTACATCCTGCATTAATTCTACCAATATTATATATTATAATAACAATAATAATAATAATAATTATTATTATTATAATATTATAAATAATAATAATAATAATAATAATAATAATAATAATTTCTAAATTGAAATAATAACAATAATACATAGATATTAATTAATAATCCCAAATGCAATACAATGAAGTGTCATATTTACAGTTCCTCAAAAAAAAAAAAGTGTTATATTTACAAATAAACAATACTAATCAATAATGTAGTTAACAAGTTCAAATAGAAATGACATTTACAAATTAAATTTGATGAAAGACGCCAACATGTCTAGAACTTCATTAAGTTCCTTGCTTGTCAACGGACCTCCCTTTTGTACCTTGCAAAACTTGGAATAAACAAAAAGTATGTTAAAATTAATTACTTAGGTTATGCATGTAAAAATACATTTACAAGTTCAGTTAGACAAAAATTTATTACTTAGACCTATATGACTACTAGGATGCCTATTTTCTACATTTCTTGTCAAATCAACTCATTCTTTCTCATAACATGTCATTATTACTTAGTTATAGGCGGCTAAGGCTTGAAATCACATGAATTGAGAAATTCAAGTGTTTTAGGACGTAGTTTGATAAAAAAAATGGCCCAAATTAGGCCTATATGACTACTACTTCACCTATTTTCTACATTTCTTGTTAAATCAACTCATTCTTTCTCATAACATGTCATTATTACTTAGTTATAGACGGCTAAGGCTTGAAATCACATGAAAAGAGCAATTCAAGTGTTATAGGACGCATTTTGATCCAAAATGGCTCAAATAAGGCCTATATGACTACTAGGATGCCTATATTCTACATTTCTTGTCAAATCAACTCATTCTTTCTCATAAAATGTCATTATTACTTAGTTATAGGCGGGTAAGGCTTGAATTCACATGAATAGAGCAATTCAAGTGTTTCAGGACGCATTTTGATCCAAAATGGCCCAAATAAGGCTTATATGACTACTACTTCACCTATTTTCTACATTTCTTGTCAAATCAACTCATTCTTTCTCATAACATGTCAATATTACTTAGTCATAGGCGGCGAAGGCTTGAAATCACATGAAAAGAGCAGTTCAAGTGTTTTAGGACGCATTTTGATCCAAAATGGCTCAAATAAGGCCTATATGACTACTAGGATGCCTATTTTCTACATTTCTTGTCAAATCAACTCATTCTTTCTCATAAAATGTCATTATAACTTAGTTAAAGGCGGCTAAGGCTTGAAATCACATGAATTGAGTGTGGGAAGTAGGATTCTCACCAACCGTCTCAGAAACTGCATTTTCAATAGGAGGCGCTTGTTCAGCTGAAATTTCAAATTCATCAAGCCTACGCTCCAACTCATCTTGAGCCTGATCTTCTGCCTCACCCAAATCAGGTTCCTTGTTCACATCACACAGCTCGTCCTCATCCTCATAGAAATCATCATCATCATCCTCTATATCCTTGACACAGTTACGGTCCTGATCGTCCGTCATGAGATGTAAACACCTGCCATTACAAACATAACACGTTATTAGTTGTAATATAAATAAATTTGTAAGGTAAAGTTATAAATATAAATTGCTGAATTATAATACAAATCAACATAGAAAATGGGCAAGTGTAGGTCGTTTTTATTCCATATTTCACATGTTTTAAAAGTTACTTCATTCATTTAAAAGAAAATGTGAAAAATGGGCAAGTAAGTTAACACTTTCATTCATTTTCACCTAACTTGTGATTTAATAATACTTTCAATGCCTATAGTTTCAAAATAACAAAAAAGAGTACCTCAATCTAATATTCCTTCATTGTGGACTGATCGCATATAATTGGCTTGGTCGTCTATGTCATTTGGTACAACAGGTCTAGGAACAGTGAAAGGTGCCGAGTCATCAAACGCATCATATTCTTCCTCACCCTCGACATCTCCAATGCCTAGGATTCGTCTTTTGCCGGCTAGCACAATAGACCATTTTGAATCGACTGGGTCAGTTACGTAAAACACTTGCTTAGCTTGAGATGCAAGGATGAATGGTTCCGCACTATCATTCAGGTGGCCAAGATCTACAAGAGTAAAGTCATCATATTTGACGTTACGCCTGATATTATCAACCCACTTACATTGGAAAAGAGTAACCGTGAAGTTACAATAATCAAGCTCCCATATTTCTTGAATTCGACCATAGTATGACAACTCTACATCAACGGGTGATTTATCCTTAGCATTTGCAAACTCCCTTGACGATGCCACAAGCGTTACACCACTGTTTTGGGTCGAGGAAGATTTCAAATCCTAACGCTCAGTCCAAAAAGTGTACCCATTTATGTCATATCCCTCAAATGAGCGAACATCATCTCTAGGACCATAAGTAAGCCACTTTACTGTATCAGTGACACTTTCATCCATTCTACCCATCACTCAATCACGAAACTAACTCACAAACCTCTTATTATGCAACTGCATCAATGCCCTTTCACCTTTCGATGGAAATTCATCACGCAAACTAGCCATGTGTTCGTCTAAATATGGGTGAACATCTGCAACATGGTGCAACACATATAGGTGTGCTTGTAACAACTTATCTCGGTCAGGTGACATTCGTTTCGACCCGATTTTGCCATGACCATCAAGTCTCCCTTCATGTCGAGAAGTAGGAAGACCAATAGGTTCAGCAACGGTTATATAGTCGGCCACAAAATTACCAATCTCCTCACCCACGGTCCCTTGAATCATACTTCCTTCCGGGCGAGCCCGATTCCCTACTTTACTTTGCATTGTACCCATGTGTCTTTCAAAAGGATAGCACCATCTCATGAACACTGGACCGCACAACTTAATCTCATGCACCAAATGAAGAATCGGATGCACCATTATGTCAAAAAATGAGGGTGGGAAGTACATCTCAAATTTGCACAAAGTCACAACCACATCCGCCTGCAAAGCATCAAGTGTACAAGGATCAAGCACTTTACTGCATATTGTATTGAAAAACGAATATAGGCTTGTAATAGCTTCCCTCACATGCTTCGGTAAAATACCACGTATTGCAATTGGTAGGAATACTTGCATCATAACGTGACAATCATGGGATTTCATACTTGTCAGCTTCAATTCTCCATTTAAGGATACAAATCTTTTCATGTTAGAAGCGTACCCTGATGGAACCTTAATGCCGTACAGACATGCACAAAACATCCGTTTTTCTACCCTTGACAAGGTGTAGCAAGCCGGAGGTAAATAAGCCTTTTCATCCTTGGCTTTTCCCGCTCTGTGGCCTTTCCCTTTCCCTTGCTCTTCCCCTTTCCTTTTTTCGAACTCATTTCATTTCCCTTTTTCCTGTTCCTTTCCGTTTCTAACCTTTTTCTGAGCCCACTATTCTGGACGAATCCCCATCTTTTTCAAATCTAACCGTGCACCCTTTCCGTCCTTTGTTTTGCCTTGAATTTTCATCAACGTTCCCACAAGAGCATCACACACATTCTTCTCTATATGCATTACATCAAGACAGTGCCTAACGTCATGTTCTTTCCAGT